GGCTTGACTGTGAATGTTGTTGGAAGTGGTTGTATAGTCACAGTAAGACAGTAAGAGACTCCTTTCTCTTGTGGTAAGAAACTGTGCTGCGTTCCCAAAAGCATGTAGTTCAAATCCACAACTGCTCCACAGGAGAAGGATGGGCAGTCTCCTTCCATTGGAGGGTCAGCTATAGGTCGGTTCTGACTCAGTTGTTCACTATAACAAGAACATTATCTCATGAAAACATTGATTGTAGAAAGTGCATCTTCTGCATTTTATAAGGTTGGTGATGAATTTAAAGGATTATAGTACCGGGGGCGAACATCAGTGATATGTAACATTCCTGTGCATAGTGAATTTTAGAATGCCAGGTAACTACTATCAATCATTGCTAACTTTCAGCAACTAAGACTATTTCTAAATTTTAAAATCATTAATTGCCCTTCTCTCTTAGCTCAAATACCTTTACACATACAATTTTATTATGAAGTATATGAACAGAAGAACCTGGGAGATGGAAAGCCGAAAGACTGAGCTCAGGTTAAATAGCACCCAGAACTTCCAAGATTCATCTCCCAGTACTTAGCAGGATTAGTTTCTTAAAAGGGTCAGGGAGAGAGATACTTTGCTTCTGTCACAATATTTTAAAATTTTTTTGTACTATCAAGTATGACATAGTGACCGTATGAACAATAGATCTGCCCCCTGCCCTACCCTATGCCATCTTCACAATCTCTAACACACTTAAGCCCATTGCTGTACTGTCACAGTATGGTGGAATGGAAATACTGAAGAGTTTTGGTGCCAAATACGCCTGGGTTTGAATTGTGGTTGTTCACTTTCTTTGTGATCAATGAGTTGCTTTGCCTTTTTTCCAAGCCTCTGTTTCCCTTTCTATATTATTGTAGCTAGTGATACCCATATAATTGGGTTGTTATGTATATACAAAGTGTTTGGCAGAATCTAACATAGTATAGGAATTCATTCCATATGAGTTCCTTTCTCATCCCATCCCCACCTCCTTTACAGAATGTCTTTTGTTTTTTGTTAGAAATTTTTTAAAAAAATATTTTATTGAGATTTTAATGAAACTTTACCGAGAACTTGGGTTTCCATTCATTCATTACTGCTCATTTTCCTTCCTACCCCCCACCTCAGTTCACTTTTATCTTGAAAGAGATTCTTTCATTGTTTCACAATTTCCTCCCTCCCTCTGCCCCAGTTCACTTTGCTAAGCACCTCTTATTCTGGACTGTTGTCATGGAAATAATACCTAATCATATATTCCTTTCAAACAGTTCTTTCCCTCATCTGTTTCAATGCCGTGTACATTATGTATCCCCTCTTTTCTTAGTTTCCTCCCAACCCCCATGTCAGTCCTGTTTTATAACAGTGGTATTATGCAGTATTTATCCTTTTTGCTTCCATCACTTTGCTATTGTGAATAATGCAGCAATAATATAGTTGTGCATTTATTTGTTTGGGTGGCAGTTCTGATTTCTTTAGGGTATATTCCCAGTAGTGGAGTTGCTGGGTCAAATGGTATTTCTATTTGCAAATTTTTGAGAAAGTGCCATACTGTCTTCCATTGTGGTTACACCATTTCATACTCCCACCAACAGTGAATAAGGGTTCCAGTTTCTCCACAACTTCACCAGCATTTGTTGTTTGCTGCTCTGTTGAACTTTGCTGTTGTTACTGGGATGAGATGATATCTCATAGTTGTTTTGATTTGGATCTCTCTTAGAGCTAGGGATTTTGAATATTTCTTCATGTGTTTGTTTGCCATCTGAATGTCTTCTTTGGTGAAGTGTCTGTTCATATCCTGTGCCTATTTTGCGATTGGATTATCTTGTTTTGGTTCTCGAGTATTCTATAAGTTCTGGATATAAGTCCCTTACCAGACATGCCATTATCAAATATTTTTTTCCCCTTCTGTGGCTTTTCTTTTTACCCTGTTGGGGAAGGTTTTGATGTGCATAGAGATTTGATTCTTAGGTGATCCTATTCATCAATTCTCTCCTGGTTTTAGGTAGAACATGTTTATTTAAAGAAAAGGTTGTTGCTGTTAGTTGCTATTGAGTCAATCACAACTCATAGTAGCCTTAGACTGATCTGAACTTTCTCCTATCCTGTGCTACCTTCATCCTCTCTGCCACACTGGAGCCTATTAATTACAGCCACTGTGTCATACCATATCATTGAGGTAGTTAGTCTTTCCCTCCTTTGCTGATCCTTCACCTTTCCAAACATGTTTTTCTTCAAGTACTGGTCCCTTCTAACAACAAGCGTGAAGTATGTGTGATTAAGTTCACCGTCCTTCCACTCTAAGGAACATCCTGGCTGTATACTTTCCAAGACATACATGTTTATTCTCGTGGTGATAGTTCATGGATTCTTTTCTTCAGCACCACAATTTAAAGGTATCAATTCATCTTCTATCCTCTTTATTCACTGTCCAACTTTCAGATACATAGCAAGTAATTGAAAAGACTGACTTTGATTAGGTGCATTTTAGTCTTTAAACTGGCATTTTCTGACAGTTGTAGAACCTGTTTAACTTGGTGTTTAGATGGTCTGTTCCTTCTACTGGATTACATTCACAAAGGGTAGATTTTAGGAATGACCTAAATGGAGAAGCCCTAAAACTTCAGTTGGCTTAGATCTTACATTATATACCATTGTAAATTTAATCTTATTTGTTCTTGCTCCAAAACAGGTTTATTTTTTTTTCTTAGTGAGGCATAATAACAACTTTGGTACTCATTGCTCTTTAATGGAAACTATGGCTGTGCAGGATGGTTTCAAATATATTGAATAGGACATGCTGTCCTTTAAAGTGTGCATTTCGCAGTTGTGCTGCAGTCCTCATGGATACAGTTAAATTAATCATTGCAGAATTATTGACTCTACCCTGTACAGGTAAAATAAAACTTCCTCTAAGAAACACTGGAGAATCGGTGTTTATAAAACACTGAGACAAGCAAGGGAGACAACAGGTAAAAGAACAGCTTTGACAGAATCAATTGTATTAATTGGTTATTTTTCTTTAAGTCTTCTTAAATATTTTGGTCTTAGTTTTATTCTCTTTCAATCCAAAAAGTCAGAGTGTTCCAAATAAAACAGAAAGGATGTTATGTCTTATTTGTCTAAATAAAGGCTTAGGTTCTTAACTTAAATCCTACTTGTATTCCTTTGGGTGTAGGGCTCTTTTATATTTTCTAGTTCCTTATGTGTTAACATCACTTAAAGCAATCACCATTGTTTTTGTAATGAGGTTGAAAAAGTGTCTTTAAGATGTATGTTTATAGACAAACTTTGGAATAGAACTGAAACATGCAGACTAGTGCCTTTCAGTGTGACAGATTTTGGAGTTAGATTGCATTTCAGCTCTATCATTTATTTGTTGAATGACTTAGGCAAGTTACCGTTTTCTACATTCCTTTTCTTATATGTAGAAAAACGGCATGTTAACACTTCTATGAAATTATAATGTAGATTTACTAAGTCATAGTTGCAGAGTGGTTGGTACAAGGGAGGCACTGTAAAAGTACTAAAATTGTGTTAGTAGCATTTCCTAATCTCAGTCTTGTGTTTGATTAATGAATATTGTTCCTTTGAAAGTAAATGATATGTAACCACTCCTGTTCAATATTGTATTGGAAGTACTTTCTAGGGCAATACGATATGGAAATAAGAGGCATCCAAATTGACAGAGAGGTGGTAAAACTGTTGCTATATGCAGACAGTATGATAGTGTACACAGAGAAATCCCAAGACTCAACCAAAAAAACTGTCAGACCTAGCAGACCAGTTCAGTAGAGTGGCAAGATACAAGATCAATAAACAAAAATCATTTGGATTTTTCTACAACAGCAACAACAACAAAACACAGAAAATGAGACTTAAGAAAGCAATATTACAAGATACCAACCATATGATGAAATATTTGGGAATAAACCTAACTAAAGACCTTTGTAAGGAGAACTACAAAACATTACAAGAAATAGTAAGAGATCTAAATAAATGAAAGTAAATGATGTGTACATGTAATTTGGAATGTATTGTAGTTCTTTGGAGGAAAAGATATTTTGTAAACTAAAGTTTCTAATATTGTTTTGTCATGTTTCTAAGGTTGGTAACAGAGAAGATACTGGGAAGGAAATATCTACTTCTGCCTTCTCATCTTGTACCAAGGTGTCCTGCCCTCTGTGTAACCAAGGCTACCCACCTGCAAAGATTGAGCGACATGCCATGTACTGCAATGGTCTAATGGAGCAAGACACAGGTAATGAGTCATCTGGACAAAGACTTTTCTTGATCTTGCTGTCTGTGGCAAGCATACTATTTATTTGTTCCACATACCTCAGGAGAAGGGAGAGGGGAAAGTTACCCATCTTATAGAGTTTCCACTTACTTTGTAGTAATGGGTGGGACAAAAGTCAGTGTTACGGACCTTTCATTTCAGCTTACATATTTAATATTGAGACTTCTGTGGAATGTGGGAAACCAAGTTTTAGTGTTGCTTGCATTTTATTCAGAGTAAGTCCTTTGTGATTTTCTATGGAAATTCAGCCTAAATACAGTAGCTGGAAAATATCCTTAATTTATATTCATGTTGTACATGTTTCTGTTGAGTTATCCTGGGGCTCTCACTACTTCTTCACCACACCTCCACTCCCAAATGCTGTTCCCAGCAAAGTGGAGTAAAAAAGAGTAAACAGAGATGATTTTATGCTCCAAGCTCTCATGGACCAAAAATGTCACTAGTCAGGTTTACTTAATTTGGCAAAGTTATTGAGAGGTAAAGTCTATTGAGACAGTTAATAGAAAGCTGTTCTTTTTTAGTGCTGTGCATAAACATTTAAATATTCCAGGATCTTTGACCTAGTAATTCCACTATTGGGAGTGCTAACTGTAGCTAGTATTTCGTCAGTACTTGATGTGTGCTTGGCATTGTGCTTTCCTTAAAATATCTAGTCTAACTTTCCAAATACTAATTATTGTTATATGTCAAATGCATGAAGAGTATTGAGCACAGTTTCACACGCTAGAACTGACAGAGATAGGACTCGGCCTTAAACTGATTGGACTCCAGCGCTTATCTCTGTTACTATCACCTTATACTGGGAAACTGTCTTTGGGAATAATCATTAGATAGAAACAGTATTAGACATAAAGGTTCTCTGTGCTATGTGATTATAACAGTGGCATCTTTAAGCAAGGTAAGTACACAATAGCTAAGTAAATGATGGTAGTTCAGATTATAAAGTATTATATAAGAATTTAAAATGTTTTTACAATTAACCTTTAGTGATACAGGGAAAATTCATGCTATAATAGAAAAGTATAAAAAGAATAAGGAACAGTGTGCACTGGTCATATGTGATCTCTATTAATTCCAAAAGAGGGGACTGTCCCCATTAATAGCATACCCAATATATAACAATGAGGTCAGGCATGCCTATCATAGTCTTACACCTATTTCTTCTAATTGCAACACCAGTCTTACTGCTTTAGAGGGTCCAAAATCCATTGCAGTAGCTAGACAGACCTCATAGAACTAAACTATACTCTGAATTTCAGAGTTCTTTAGGGAACTTAACAGGTTATAATTGTTGGCAGCAGGTTAAAATTTCTTAGCCAAGACAGCTTCTGAAGCATGCTCACAGACCTTTCACTCTTCAACCTTGCAGGTTTAAGCCAGTGTTACAAAGTTCTCTTAGTCCTGCCAATTTTGGCATCTCCTTTTTACCCCACAAGTTCTCTAGCAAACTTGGGTGAAGGACCCAACTCTGGTCCACGAGGTAGCAGTCCCAGACCAGCATTGTCTCATGTAGAGCTTCTGGTTCTCTGCTTTGGCTGCTGCTGCTTTCCTGCAGGCTCCAATTAGAATGTTGCAGGATTTTCTGGATGCTTACTACATTCTCTGCTGCTTCTTTCTTGATGATAGTAAGATTCTCAAAATATCTGCTACTGAACATGTTCAGTTTAAACATGGTAGAATTACAGAACTAGCCAATCATGTTGTAGAACAACACACCCTATTTGCATGTTCCTACCCAGCCTATGGGGAAAGTAAAAGGCCATGGCCTAGGAAAGCCATCTTGAATACTAGACCCAGTACACAAAAAGGTAAGAGTGCAGCGTGCAGTCATCTCTTAACTATGTAAAAATATATCTGCACATGGAAAGATCTAAATTAACTGCTAAATAAAAAGTCAAGTTGCAGAATAATATATATAGCATGATTCCCTAAATATATAAACAGTACACGAGACATTCAATAAAATCCAAAATGATAAGTATTCAAGAAATGTAAACTATTACTGTTACCACCAATGACTATATAATACTTTTATTTTCCTTTTACATTTCATTTAGTGGTTGTTCTTGACTATATACTACTTCTGTAATCAGAAAAGACATTTATTTATACTACTTTAAATTTATTTAAAGAAATTTGTTGTTGTTGTTGTGTACTGTCGAGTCATTTGTGACTCATAGCATCCCTGTATATAACCACTTTGAACTGTGCTGTGTCTTGAGCCGATTTCATTGTCTCTGATGTTCCTGCTCTCATTACCCCAATCACTGAGTCAATCCATCTCATCCAGGGTCTTCCTCTCTTGCTGTGTCCCTCCACCCTTCCAAGCATGATGTCCTTCTCTGAGAACTGGTCCCTTCTGGCATCTTGCCCGAAGTATGTCAGATGGAGCTTCAAAGTCCTTGCCTCCAAGGTGCAGCCTGACTTCACCATCTTCAGGACAGACCTGTTTGTTCTCTTAGCAGTCCATAGTATATTCTCCAGCACCACAACTCAAAGGCATCAATTCTTCTTCTGTCATCTTTAGTCATTGTCCTACTCTCTAAAGCATAGCAAGTAATTATGAAGACCATGGCCTGGATCCAGGTGCACCTTGGTCTCCAGACTGACATTGCTCTTCAGTACTCTGGAGAGGTCTCTGACAGCAGATTTTCTCAGTGCAATTCATCTTTTGCTTTCCTGGCTGCTGGTACCAAGAGTGTACCAAGAGTGTTGATTGTGGAGCCAAGCAAGTGGAAGCTGCTCTCAATCTCTTCTCCATCTATCATGATGCTGCCAGTTGGCCCAGTGGTGGTGAGAATCTTTGTTTATTTAATGTTGAAATCCAATCCTTTTTTAAGGCTACAGTCCTTGACCTTCTGCAGCAAATGCCTCAGACCACCCTCAGTTTCAGCAAGTAATGTTGTGTCATCTGCGTAACTCATGTTGTTGATAAATCTTCCTCCAATCCTGATGCCACATTTTCTCTTCATAGAGCCCAATCTCCTGGATGATCTTATCTGCATATCGATTAAAAAGGTATAGAGATAGGATACATCCATGGCATACACCTTTCCTGATTTTGAACCATGTGGTGTTTCCTTGCTCTGCCTGATGACTGCCTCTTGGCCCAAGTATGGTTCTCTCATAAGCACAATCAAGTGTTCTGGGATTCCCATTCTTCTCAAAGCCAGAGTTTGTTGTGACCTACACGGTTAATTACCTTTGTATAGTCAATGAACTGCAGATAGACATTCCTCTGATACTCTCTGCTTTCAACTAAGATCCATCTAACATTGGCTATAATGTCCCTAGTGCCCTGGCCTCTTCTAAACCCAGCCTGCACATCTGGCAGTTCTCTGTTGATGTACTATTCCAGTCATTTTAGACTCTTATTTATTTAATAAGGAACTTTATTCTTTCAGAAAAGTTAAATGACGTGTTCATTTTTCTCCTGGCAAACTTACCAGATACTTCACAGTAATACAATTTCAGATTTAAATGCCTCTAATTTATGGGACTAAAGTAGTATTGGGGAATTTTTTTTCAACATTTTTATCTTACATTTGGGCAGTTTACCAGAGAGAATTAATTGTGCCAATATTGTTATGGCAAGATCAAAGATAGTGTTTCAAAAAGCCATGATCCACAAGCAGATTTTTATGGTCCATTCTCCACACTGTACTCAGACCAAACTTTTTGGTATACTTTTGGAGAACTAAATCATTCTACTCTCTGTGTATACATCTGCTTTCCTAGGAACAGAGTTTGGAGTAGAGGTGGGATGGGAAAATAGTTGGAGAAATAATGGCAAGTACCTCTGAGTTGGCCTGACTCATACAAGGAGATCCTTAAGGAGTTTTCTTTTTCACTTGGTATCTCTACCTAGTTAATGATTGTTTTGGTACCTCTCAGCTTTATGACCAGAGTCAGAAGCTTACAGCCTGATTTTTTAATTCTGCTAAGAGTAAGCCTCTTTGATTTTGGAGGGGAGAGAATTGAGACACCATTAGCTCAATGTCTAAAGGGTACAATAAAAGAAGAGACTTACTTCTTACAGTTAGAAGTAACTAGTTTTCTCTTCCTTTTGGTTTCCCCTGAAAGCTGATCCTAGACATGAATGGTTTGGCTGTGTAAAAGAAATAGTAATTAGAGTCATTTACATAAAGTGCCTACCATTTATGTCTAATTACCATGCAGCACAATAACAATTATGCATATCATTAAATATGTGTCTGATTAACTTTGCTTTAAGTTTTATTTGATTAGAATATTATATTCTGGTTATGCTAGCTCACTTTGTTCATTTTGTTGCTCAATGATATGACTGACTATTCAAAACTAAGAAAAAATTAGAGAAGTGTTTTTTAATGATCTCATTTGGGGTAGAAGATTTGCTAATTTATTCTAGACATGGACGAGTACAGTTTACCTTTATATTTGCTTTCTTGAAAATGTATTTAAGGCCGTAACACTTACGAAGGGAAAAAGTCACCTACTTACTCATTCCATATTTATTAATCCATCCACTGCCTTAGCAGCAGTTCTAACTCACAGTCAGTGACCCAATGTTGGGTATGCAACGCTGTAAATCTTAATAGGAACAGACTGCTTCATTTTTCTCCCGTAGTGTGGCTAGTGGATTCTGCCACCCTTTTGCTTAGGAGCTCATCACATAACACCAGAACCCTGGTGGCATAGTAGGGTGCTGTGTGTTGGACTGCTAACTGAAAGTTGAAGGTCCAAGTCCATCAGCTGTTCTAGGGGAGGTACTCAGCTGCCATTTAAGAATTAGAGACTTAAAAATCTGAAGGCAAATTACTGTGAGTCAGAAATTGACTTGTCAGTAGTGGGCTTCAACTTTTGACTTTTTAGTATACCAGATACACAAGTAAATAAATGGATCATGAACTTTCTATTAACTGAAAGATTGAAAGACCTGGTGATTTATTTATTTATTAAAACTTAGCCACTGTCGATGTGAAGCACTGTTCTACAATAGGCACTTGTGGAGACATCGTATGTCACATTTGACTTGATGGCAACTGGTTTGGTGGTTGGTTTGTTTTTTTAATCACTTGTTATGCATCAGAGAATTGGACAGTGACTAAGAAGGATAGAAGGAGAATTGATGCCTTTGAGCTGTTGTGCTGGAGAAAAGTATTGAATGTACCATGGACTGTTAGGAAAACAAACAGATTCATCCTGGAAAGGGTTAAACCAGGTGGCTCCCTGGAGGCAAGGATTCTGAGGCTCCGTGTAACATACTTTGGACATGTTGTCATGAGGGACCAGTCCTTGGAGAGGGACATCATGCTTGGGACGGTGGAGGGACAGCGCAGGAGGGGAAGACCCTCTACGAGATGGACTGATTCAGTGACTGGGGTAATTGGGATGGGTGTGTCAGAGACAGTGTGATTAGCACAGGACAGAGTAGAGTTTAGGGCTGTTGTACATAGGGTTGCTATGAGTTGCAAATGACTCGACGGCACATAACAACAACATACCTAGTTACAGTGAAGATAATAAAGTTCCCTGTTCTTTTTAGGTGCCATTCAGTTGACTATAACTTATAATGAACTTATGAGCAATAGATTGAAACCTTGCCTTCACAGCCTCACAGTCTCCACCATGCTTAGTCCATTTTCTATAGTCACTGTGTCATTTCATCTCATTGAAGATCTTTGACACTGACACTTTCCTTTTCTAAGCATGATGTCTGTTTCCCAAGATTGGCACCACCTCTGAACATTATGACTTAAGTATGTGAGACATAGTTTCATCATCCTTGCCTCCATGGAGCCTCCTGATTACACTTCCTCCAAGATAGGCTTGAGGTGTTGATAGAATACCAGTTGAGGTATTTCAGAAAACTTATTTTGCTCTGGACTTGTTCACTTGTCTAGAAATTTGGAAGATAGTTACTTAGCCATCTTACTGGAAGAGATCCATACTTGTGCCCATTCCAAAAAAGATGATCCAAATAATTGTATTAATATCACATACAAGTAAAATCCTGCTGGTGATTATTTAAAAATAGCTGGAACAGTACATTGATAGAGAACTTCCAGAAATTCCAGCTGGATTAGAAGAGGACATACAAGTTCGATCGGTAGCGGGAGCCGAGAGCGGACCCCTGAGAGCCCTGAGCAGCCCCACCGCCGCCGCCGGCCTAGTTACCATCACACCCCGGGAGGAGCCGCAGCTGCCACAGCCGGCCCCAGTCACCATCACCGCAACCATGAGCAGCGAGGCCGAGACCCAGCAGCCGCCCGCCGCCCCCACCCTCAGCGCTGCCGACACCAAGCCCGGCACCACGGGCAGCGGCGCAGGGAGCGGCGGCCCGGGCGGCCTCACATCGGCGGCGCCTGCTGGAGGGGACAAGAAGGTCATCGCAACGAAGGTTTTGGGAACAGTAAAATGGTTCAATGTAAGGAACGGATATGGTTTCATCAACAGGAATGACACTAAGGAAGATGTATTTGTACACCAGACTGCCATAAAGAAGAATAACCCCAGGAAGTACCTTCGCAGTGTAGGAGATGGAGAGACTGTGGAGTTTGATGTTGTTGAAGGAGAAAAGGGTGCGGAGGCAGCAAATGTTACAGGTCCTGGTGGCGTTCCAGTGCAAGGCAGTAAATATGCAGCAGACCGTAACCATTATAGACGTTATCCACGTCGTAGGGGTTCTCCACGTAATTACCAGCAGAATTACCCGAATAGTGAAAGTGGGGAGAAGAACGAGGGATCGGAGAGTGCTCCCGAAGGCCAGGCCCTACCGCAGGCGACGGTTCTACATGCGGAGACCCTATGGGCGTCGACCACAGTATTCCAACCCTCCTGTGCAGGGAGAAGTGATGGAGGGTGCTGACAACCAGGGTGCAGGAGAACAAGGTAGACCAGTGAGGCAGAATATGTATCGGGGTTTTAGACCACGATTTCGCAGGGGCCCTCCTCGCCAGAGACAGCCTAGAGAGGACGGCAATGAAGAAGATAAGGAAAATCAAGATGAGACCCAAGGTCAGCAGCCACCTCAACGTCGGTACCGTCGCAACTTCAATTACCGACGCAGACGCCCAGAAAACCCTAAACCACAAGATGGCAAAGAGACAAAAGCAGCCAATCCACCAGCTGAGAATTCGTCTGCTTCCGAGGCTGAGCAGGGCGGGGCTGATTAAATGCCGGCTTACCATCTCTACCGTCATCCGGTTTAGTCACCCAACAAGAAGAAATGAATATGAAATTCCAGCAATAAGAAATGAACAAAAGATTGGAGCTGAAGACCTTAAGTGCTTGCTTTTTGCCCGTTGACCAGATAACTGGAACTATCTGCATTATCTATGCAGCATGGGGTTTTTATTATTTTTACCTAAAGATGTCTCTTTTTGGTAATGACAAACGTGTTTTTTAAAAAGCCTGTTTTTTCTCAATACACCTTTTAAAGGTTTTTAAATTGTTTCATATCTGGTCAAGTTGAGATTTTAAGAACCTCATTTTTAATTTGTAATAAAAGTTTACAACTTGATATTTTCAAAAAAAGTCAACAAAACTGCAAGCACCTGTTAATAAAGGTCTTAAATAATAAAAAAAAAAGAAGAGGACATACAATGGGGAACATCATTGCTGACATCAGATAGATCTTGTCTCAAGGTAGAGAATACCTTGTCTTTTGTTTTATTGTTCATGTACATGTATTTGACTGTGTGGGTTATAATATATTATGGATAACATTGAGGAGAACAGGAATTCCATAATACTTCCTGTGCTCATGAAGAGCCTATGCGTAGACCAAGAAGCAGCTGTTCAAAGAGAACAAGGAGATAATGCATGATTTAAAATCAGGAAAGATAGGCATCAAGGTTGTATCCTTTCTCTATACCTGTTCACTCTTTAAAGAGTAAATAATTTAAGAAGCTGGGCCTTGTGAATAAGAATGTGGCATCGGCATTGGAGTGAGACTTACTTAACAACACAAAGCTGCATTATCCAGGTGACACTGCTTTGCTTGCTGAAAGTGAAGAGAACTTGAAGCAGTTATAGAAGAAGCTCAAATGTATGAATTACACTCAACTTAAAGAGAAAAAAAATTCTTGAAATTTGTTCAGTAGGCAACATCATGATAAATTGAGAATAGTTTGATGTTGTCAAGACTTACATTTTCCTAGACAACATAATCAACCCTCACAGATGCAACAATTTAGAAATAAATGATGTATTGCAGTGGGGAAATCTTCTGTGAAGGAGTACCTCTTTAAAGTGCTGCAGAGCAAGGACATCACTTTAAAAGACCAGACCCAAACTATGTATCTTCAATTTTACCATGTGCATTAAAAGAAGTCCAAAGAAGAGTTGATACCTTTGAATTGTGGTGTTGGCAAAGGATATTGAATATCCCATGGCCTGACAAAAGAACTGATCTCGTCTTGAAAGAAGTGAAGCCAGAGTGCTTTTGGAGACAGGAATGGTGAGACTTTCTCAAATACATTGGGAATGTTGTTAGGAGGCACTGGTTCATAGGAAAGGACATTACGCTTGGGGATTGGTGGATCAGCAAGAGGAAAGAAAGTCATCGATGACATAGATTGACACAGTGACTGCAGTAGGATTTGAGTATGAGAGAGATTATGAAGATGATGTGTAATCAGGTGGAGTTTCTTTCTGTTGTTCATAGAGTCTCTGTTATTCATAATTAATACTATGGCACCTCACAACAGCTACCAGCAGCAATATACCTTGTAGGTTGTAAAATTGTCTGAATTTCTGACTATAGAATTAAGTGAAGCGACTTAGAGCAAAGTGTGCTCATTTTGATTTTCAGTCTGTTGTCAATCTGGTGTTGCAGGAGCCAAAACTTTCTCTTGCCTGATTGATGAAATTTCAAGAGATGTGCATTTCTTTGGCTGAGTAATGTGCTGGGACAAGGAAGCACTTCTGATGGATTTGGGAAGTGCTGAGGTGTGGGGCTCCCAGATGGGGATTGAATTTCTGCTGCCATTTAATGTACCTGGTGTAGTGAGCCAGTTCAGTGCAGGACATCCCATCAGATATGGCTTCCTGCACTGGTGTGAAGAGATAGCGAGCATGTGTATTTACACATGTTGGAGTGGCATGTATCCATTGCCAAATTTGCAAGGACACCACCATGTCAGGGACTGTCAGATTAGGAGATAGATTGTGTTTAAAAGATGCACTGCCTAGCCTTATGAGGAGTGTGTTCACCTCCCCATGGTGTGTGTGTGTGTGTGTGTGTGTGTGTAAGAGAGAGAGAGAGAAAGAACCTGATGCTAAATCTACCCATTTCCTCCCAGGAATAGGGTAGTGACAAGGATTTAGTGTTCAAAATGACTTTCCTAGACTTGACTTTGACTTTTCCATGTGGGTGGGTGGGAATGTGCAAATAGGTTGTATCAATCTATCCAACTAGAGGATTGGCTAGTCTCACCATTAAATTGAGTGCATTTAGCAGCAGAATCTGGGAATCTCAACATTAACAAGGAAGAGGAAGCAGTGTGAATCCTTTGCGGCAAGAGATTCCTGTGCAGCTAGATTGGACAAGAGCAGCAGCAACTTCAGCAGAAGAACCAGTGACTAAAATGACACAGAGCTGACTTGGTACTGCCGCCCCACACAGCCAGAGATAGAGGGTTTCCCCCAAGCTTACTGGGGCATTCAGGGAAGAAGCCATAACTCTCAGGGTTTGGAACTTTATAACAGTTACCTAAGTCTTGAGGTTGAAGGTCAAAGGACCTGCAACCACAATTGAGAGCCTGTTTATACTGAAGGATTGTATCCTACTGCTAGCCTGTTAACTTCCTTAGTAAACCCCATAGTTGCAAATATGGTTTTGTAGTCTGTGTAGCCATTATACTGGATTTCAGAGCCAGTAGAGTACTAAGAGTGGTGTTGGAATTAATAGAAGTAGGTGTAGGAGTGTGGGAGACCATGTCTGACATTATAGGAATTAGTTTTGTACTGTGGATGATCTTGATAGGGAGAGTTTCATTTTGTGGAATTAGTACAGGTCAGACTTGGCCATATCCATGCCACTTTTTTCTTTTTACAGTCACTTTCTATCCAGAGATGGCCTATGGCAACACACTCCACTGTTCCCAAGAAGAGTGAATGTGGTTCTTACATGGACTGGGTGCTAAATCCTCAAAGACATCCAGCCACGGGCAGTTTCTGTCAACCTATGAGGTGATCAGAAACAAAGATGCCTCTGTCAATATAAAGGCTGGGTACAAGCTAGGCTTGCACTCAGGTAAAACACAGTCTGCTGGCATCAAGAGGTAGAGAACATAAGTCTCCAAATTTAAGTTTTTGCTATCTCAACACTGGATACATAGTAGTATAAGCCTAGCATTAGGTGGAGCTATGGTGAGGTCTAGGGTAGACACTTCTATACCCTGAGAGAGTGTAAGGAGCAAAAGACTTTTCTTTAGTTAGCTAGTCGGCGAAGGAGAGGAAGACCCTCAACCAGGTGGATTGACACAGTGACTGCTCAGTGGGCACTTGTGTGTCAGGAAGTATGAGGATGACACAAGCTAGAACAGGGTTCAGATCTTTTGTTCATAGGGTCATTGTGAGCCATACTCGATTTAACCTAACAACAACATTGTTGCCACTCCTGTGGGTACCATTGCAGTCTTAGGTTCCTGTCAGTGAGAAAGCTGCAAAAATTCAAAATGGCTATACTTTTTCAACTCTGTTCACAGTTTACTGCTCTATCTCCTTATTTGATGTTTTTGTTCTGTTTCTTCCTTCATTTAATGTTTGTGCTAATTCTTTCCATTTGCTTTTGAAACTGGAGGTTGCATTCTGATGTTTTAGAATAGAGGGTCTGGGCTGCTACTTGCCTACACCATCTTGCCAGAAGTCCCAATTTCATTCCGTTTGGTTTTCTTTCTTTTTTTTTTTAAATTGTAAGGTTGAAAGTTTTTTTCTTTCTCCCTTTTCTTTAATTCTTTAAGTAAGTTTATGTTTCTTTGAAGACTTGTTCTCTGAATTTTGTCAAAATATCTACTGGGATCTTAGTCGTTTTCTTTTTAGTTGTATAAATGGTTTGCCTTTTTCTTCAGACATCCTTTCCAGTCCTTTTCAACCCATCAGTTCTTATCAACTTACTGATTTATGCAGCCCAAGGCAGAAGTCCTCTTATGTGAATACTCTTGAAGCATTTTTTTTCTTCAACAGAAACAAAATTGATCCTGCAAAAAAGAGTGTAAACTGAAGTGC